TAATTACTTTCTGAAATAATCATTATAGAACATAGTCATTTGGCCTGACATACCTGCCTACCTGTTGGGGACTCTTTTAAAAGAAAAAACTCATCTTTCTTGAATTACCTTCACCGTAAAAGGACAAATAATTCTAAGAAAGCATCACTTCTCAGCCAACCATGAAGATACCCCCTTGGAGTTTCAGTAGGTAAGCACACATCTATCCCTCTTCTATAACACTGCTATCAAAGGTTTCAAAAGAGATAATGGCAAAAGGATTATTCTGTTCTGTCCCCAAATGCCATAGAAAGTTGCTTTGGGAAAAGCTGGTTTGGTTGATCACCTTTTGTGATAGTGGTTCTTTATGAAAGGTGCTTTCAGGATTGAGGCGGGGAACATATTTTGACCATCTGATTAGAACCATTAACATATTTACCAAATATGAAACTATTCATTACAGGTTAAGAATTCCACTACTATATGTTTCACTCCAGCAACAGAATATATGATGTGAGAAAGGCAAACTGGTCTTGAAGACCAGACACAAACACTTATCACAGTATTTAATTTCAGATTCAATTTATCTAACTGAATAAATTTATAATTCCAAAACTGTTAGGAAGATTTGTTAAATACATAATATAAAACAGATTTTATATACTAGCTGAGGGTGAAATAAATTATCTTTCATTCAGATTTTTTTCCTTTTTAACTCAGTTGTGAAATTAGCAGACCACTACTACATCTGACACCTTCAGTTTAGTTATGTTCCATGGACAGAAATAAAATATTGCAACAGTTCTTCCAGTAGTGGGGATGCAAGGTTTTTTTTTGCTTCTTGTGGTAGAAGGGGGTGAAGATAAGGTAATTAAGTAATGGACAGATATGAATTAAATGTCAGCCTTCCTGGAAATGAAAAACAAATTAATAAAACCCAAGTTTTATTTTGATGATTCCCTTAAATGAAGACACGAGTTCACAATCTCTGATTCAAAATCCTCACAGACAAGTATTTTGAATTCAAAATTTTTTAAACCTTAGAAAAGTCCTACAAGGGGAGTTCCCAACAATCTAATGCCACCCACAGGTCTGGGCAGCCCCCATAATAAAACAGTATTTCTGCAGCTGAAGTGATGGGATAATAACAATCAGCAGCTTCACACCAGTCCAGGTCAGTTTTTGCCAAAAAATCAATTATACAAAAAACTTGCTATTTTCAGAGCCCTTAGATTTAACAATTGTGAGCTGGGCAGATCACTTAAACCCAAGAGTTTGAGACCAGCCTTGGCAACATGGCAAAACTCTGTCTCTACAAAAAAAAAAAAAAAAAAAATCTTTTTTGATTAGCTCAACATTGTGGCATGTGCCTATAGTCCCACCTACTTGGGAGGCTGAGGTGGGGGGCTCACTCAAACCCAGGAAGCAAAGGCTTCAGTGAGCAGGGATCGTGCCACTGCACTCCAGTCTGGGGAAAAGAGTGAAGCTCTGTCTCAAAAATTAAAAAAAAAAAAAAAGATTTAACAATTGAGGATAAGGGATTGAGGACTTGTATTTAACACAAGTTTTAAGAAAATAAGTTTTAACAAAATGTTAAACCCCTAAATTCCAGTTCTCCTCCATACAAGCTATAGGAATTTAGGCACTGTTATTTAACATCTTTAAAGCCTGAGTATTCTTCCCTATAAAACGGAAATAATGATATCTTCCCATGAGTCTGCTGTGAACCACATGAGGTAATTAAGTTGGAAGATGCCTGAAACCACGTTGGGCACTGGGCAGTAGGATGACCATCTCAGTTTGCCTGAGATTTTCTAAGTATCAACACGAATGGTCCCACATCCTGGAAAACCAGCAGAGTTGGTCACTCTTCTTGGCAGGCATTCAGTAAACAGCACATATTCTTTTTTTGCGGGGTTGGTGGGGACGCGAGGGAGAGTAGAGACAGGGTCTTACTATGTTAACAGGCTAGTCTTGTACTCCTAACCTCAAGCAATCTTCCCACCCCGGCTTCCCAAAGTGCTGGGATTACAAGCATGAGCTACCACCCCCAGCTAAATGGAACAGATTCTAATATGAAGAACAGAAATTTACTAAAAGTAAAAATGCAACATGAAAAAAAATCACACAAAATAGTTTCAACAGTGAGATAGTCAGACCACTGTCTGTGAATTATAATCCTCTCTTGTGTGGTAGGCAGAATTCTAAAACCACACCCTGGTGTGCATGCCCAGTGTAATCTCCCCAGGAGTGGAAGTGAGCACGGCCTGCTCAGGGGAGCCACTTTTTAGACATGGAAAGTCAGAAAGATTTGAAGCTACAGCAGATACTCTCCTTCTGGCCTTGAAAAAGCAAACTGCATGCTGTGGAGAGGGCTACATGGCTGGGACTAGTGAGGGCCTCTAAGACCTGAGGGCCTCAGTCCTACAACCACAAGGACCTGATTTCTGCCAACAGCCTGAATGAGCTTCGAAGAAGGCCCGGAGCCTCAGAGGATCTAGTAGTTCTGGCTGGCACCACGTTTCCCAGCCTGGGAAACCTAAGCAGACGCCCCAGACAGACCATATCAGGGCTTCAGAACTACAGAAGTATGAAAATAGAAATGAGTAATGTTTTAAGCCACCAAGTCTGGGGTAATTTATTACATATGAATAAAAAAAAATTTTTAAGAGTATCCACTTCAAAGGTGCAGATATGTGTATGGGGGGGGGCGGGTAATGTGTACATGCCTGTATGTATATGCCCAATATGTTAAGTATTTGTAAAATATAATTTCTTGCATAAAATCACTGTTTTTTAATACAAAAAAGTTCAAATTCAAAAGAAGCTTCTTAATAAATTAAACTCGGTGGAAAAATGAATCTCAAAATACTCTTGGACTTATAACTAAAACTTTCATACATTGATGATGAGGTGTGAACAGTACAATCACTTTGGAAAACTGGCAATTTCTACTAAACCTAAACATATGCAACACTATGATTTAGAAATTCCACCTTCTGAATGCACAGGTCCATACAAAGACATGCACACAAATGTTCATAGCAGCATTAGTCATAACAGCCAAAAACTGGAAGCAATCCAAATACCCAGGAACAGGAGAACAAAAAAATCAGGTATCTTCCTTCAGTGGAAAATTAACATCAATTAAAAGGAACAAACTAATAATATATGTTAATAGGGATGAATCTCACAGATACCATGTTGAGTGAAAGAAGCCAGACACAGAGAGTATGTAATGAAGGATTCCATTTCCATGAAGCAGTGACAGAAGTCAGAGTATGAGTTACTTCTCAGTAGGGGTAACCTAGGATCCAAATGTTTGCATCCCCACAAAATTAAATGTTGAAACCTAATCCCCATTGTGGTGGTATCAAGAGATGAGGCCTTTGGGAGGTGATCAGGTCATAAGGGCTCTGCCCTCATAAACGGAATTCCTACCCTTATAAAATAGGCCCAGGAAAGCTCCCTTGCCCCTTCCACCATGTGAAGACACAGGAACAAGGTGCCATTTATGGAACAGAGAGCCCTCACCAGACAATGAACCTGCTGACGTTTTGATCTTGGACTTCTCAGTCTTCAGAACTGTGAGATAAAATTTCTGTTGTTTATAGATCACCCAATCTAAGGTATTTTGTTTTAGCAGCAGGAATGGACTAAGACAGGATGTAAATCTGGGAAGGAGCACCAAGTACCTGTAACTGGTGGTGGAAATGCTCTGTATTTTGATCTTGTCAGAGTTTACATGGATGACTGCATATAAAAATAATCATTGAGAGTTAAACTTAGCACACTTTACTGAAGGTTTATATTGCTATAATCTGAATGTTTGTGTGTCCCCAAAATTTGTATGGTGAATCTCCCTAGGCGATGGTAATAAAAGGTAGGGTCTTTATAGGAGGTGATTCAGTCATGAGAATGGAGCCCTCATGAATGGGATTAGTGGCCTCATAAAAGAGGCCTCAGTGAGATGCTCATCCTCTTTCCATCAAGAAGAAATCAAAAACCCTACCATACTGGTTCCCTGATCTTGGAACTTTCAGCCTCCCAAACTGAGAGAAATAAATTTCTACTGTTTATATGCCACCCTGTCTATATTTTGTTATAGTAGCACAAATGGACTAAGACCTATACTTCAGAAATATTCCTGCTCCTTTACAATAGCTATTCAATAACCATTTACTGACATTTAAGATGCCTGAAATAATCATGGATTCCTCATTTTAAAAATATCCAAATAAGTAATGAAGAGCAAAACATGAATATTGTGAAGGTGCTATACAAGCGTAACTTTGCAAGAAATTATCAATCACGCTCTTTTTAAAACACAATGCCTAACACTTAAGTATTGCTCAATAAATGCTGGTTGCATGAATTTCATAAATAATCTCACTGCTTATAATTTAGAAGCCCAGGAGGAATCTATATGTACACATACACAGCATAATAAACTCAATATTACATAGCCTATACATGTGAAAAACTACAGTTTTTGTCCATTAACTACTTCTTTCACCTCCAAGTACAAAAAATACAAGCCAAGTGTTAAGCCATCACCAAAGAAACATAAATGTTAAATTGTGCAAGGTTTTCATTCTTCACACTGTCAGTCTTACATCAGGGGTGGGGTAACTCTTTGCCATGCAGACTTGGAACATGAGAAGTTGGTTAGGATCATCTCATTTAAGCCCCCACCCTGGTGAGGAAGCGCTCTAGCATCCCTACTGCTGGGCGTCTGCCCACTGCCTGGACCATTTGAGAGAGGCAGTGGCAACTCTCATGCAGGGAGAGGAGAGCAGGTGTGCCAGGGACAACTGGCCCACTTGAGGTGGAGAGGGCTACTGTGAACTGTGTCCATCTCAGCATCTTTTCTGCCAGAGCATAAGAGACAGAACTCACAGCATGGGAAGTCTCACTTAGCAGCAAGTCTATGAAGCTGAAATGAAGGAAGTTTTAAGTCCACAAGGGGCTCAAAAACACCACTGCAAGTGACCAAAACATGAAACAAAACCACGGCTCACCTCGCTATTGTGGCCCCGGAGGTTAAAATTTATCCTCTGTGGAGTACTCCTGTCCCTGCGACAGTGGCTAGAGGTAAAAGTCACCCCAACCACTCCTCGTCCGTTGCCTGTAGCCAGCCAGCCCTCCTCGTAGTAGCGCCTCCTGCACACAGGCTTCTCCTTCTCACTCTTGGGGACACGCCCCTTCCAGGACAAACACAGGATGTTGGAGTCGCTGCAAAGCACAGGCCCATGTTCCACCGCTGCATACATACTTTCTTCAATGAACTGTTTTACTTAAAAAGTAATGCTAATGCTGTGAAATTTAAACCAATTTCTTTCATTGGTATAAATATTTCATTTTTGTGGTTGGCTTGCGTTGCTTTTTTTCCCCCTTTAATTAAGACTGACCTGAATCTAATTAGAAGGTCAGTATTTATAAAGATCCACCAAATGCATAGTGAAAAAATTCCTCTATAAAAGATGATGGCAGTCTTCTAAGAAAAGGTAATGCTTAAAAAAACATGGGGTCCATTTTTATTTTCAAGTTCTCAGAGGAAGAACATGCTGATCCTTTGGAGAAAGAGCATCATTATTTAAGTGGTGATCAAGAAACTGTCTCCTCCTTTTTACTCCACTTGGTTATTCTCATTCAGCCTGAGATTCCAGTTTAGTGTAATATGATTCCAGAGACAAAGAGTTGCAAATACATAGATTTCAAGTAACTTAAGGCTTTAAGAATCCCTCTAGCTCAAATTTTTCTCTTCAAAGTTCGGATGCAGGGACAGAATACACAGGATCATCTTCCTTCTGAAGCCACCCTCTAGCATGTTTTCTGAACTAGACAAATTTCTGCTGCTAAAGCTGAAAAAGATTGCATAAAGGGAAAAAAAGGCACACAAACCGTGCAAAACAGACCAGAGTTTGTGCAGACAACAGTCCAAATTTTAGGAAGAAAAACAGATTCCCTCCCCGTTGTTTCAGAACCAGAAACTTTCTACCTCAAAGCTTGGCCCTGTGTCCCCAGGGAACGCAGGGTTCCATCGGACTGCTCCTCCACTAGCCAGCGCACCCCTCAGTGCCATAGAGGCTGCAAGAAGGCCCCTTCACTCAAGAAGCAGAATGTTCCAGCACTCTTACAGTGGTACCAGTGTTTGCCTTGGATAAGTCTTAGATTCTCTTGCTGACAAAACAGAGCCACACTGAAAGATCTTTTTTGCTAGTCTCCCTTCTTGCTCCCCTAGTTAGCACCCCACTTTTCTGTTCCTAAAGGTCTTTTTCCATTTTGATGAAAAAAGCTAATCTTAGAATTAAGTCCATCAGGTCATCTTCTCATATGCAAGTCTTCTTGGACTTGACAGGGAAGATAATCCCTTAAAACAAAAGCAGAAGCCAGAGTCAGATTCCCCCAACTGTTTCCCTAAAGAGTGATGGTGTTTTGCTGATGGGTGCTTTCCTGTTCACATTCAGAGACTGTCTCCAAATACCACACCACTAGTCCAAGGAAAATAAAGCTTTGCTTGGATTTTCCTTGGTATTTATTTCATAATTATTGGTTTCAATTGCTATTTTACAATATTATCCTATAGATGCAGGAAAAAAGGGAAAAATAATAAATTAAAATTTCTCAAATGCAGTTAATCAGTTCATTATTCAAACTTGTCCCATCATACTCAAACTTGCTTTCCTCTAGCCATAACCACAGAAGGAGTTACTTTTCAGTCCAGAATTTTAATCCATCCAAATCACTAAACCCACTGAAAAATAAAGTGCAATAAGCACTGTGTGAGCCACTGCAGTGTTTGAAATCACGCTTCTTTCTTGGTCATCTCCTCACTTAGTTCCTTCTTTAAGCTGGAGAGGTATTTTTGTGGCTTAATCTGTGCAATTTTTTTTTCTTCTTTTTGCAGACTTTCTTACCCGTGCAGACCATATGGAAAATTGGCCATTAGTGATGTATTTTCCTCCCCAGGCTCCTGAGCCCAGTGGTGTCAAGTTGCTCCATCTGATTCTTAAATTAATTTTAATCGGTTGTAAAACTCTCAAGTGTGCACAAGAATGAGCCTGTCTTCCTGTGTGAATGTGTAAGTACAGAAAGAAGGTTTTAAATGCACATAGACACACACTCTTCAACTGGCATACGAAGCGTCTGTTCTCCCAGTCATTTCAGGAACCATCAGATTATTCATGGCTGGAAGGCCCTGGAGTCTTACAAATCTGTTAAAAAAAAAAAAAAAAGATATAAAAAAAACTTTAAAACACTGAAAAATAAAATTTTAAGAATAACTGCTGAAACTGAAATGAGAGACCCATCTTTACACTTACATCAAATGGAGCTACTGACTGCACTGAACGGTAAAATCCAATAGTCAAAGGATACACCTCACCTACTTCAAGACAACACATAACATATGAGAGTTCTGACTGCCATGAATTGTTGTATTAAATGTGTCATTAGCTGGGCATATCTGAATGAAATCATTACTGCCATTCTTCCACACTGAACTGTCCTTTCTAAAACTCTGAACCCTGAATATGAGACCTCCAGAGACCATGGTCAGTGTTTAAGCAGGCATCCTCAAAAAGGAGACTGAAATGACTCAGGCAAGTTAGCTGGATTGATTTTTTCACTATTAATAAAAGATATTCGCTCAAGACACAAAGCAAAGTAAGAGCCTTTAAGATTCATCCATCCCTGATGGCTGGCAGGTCTCAGAGCAAAGCACAGCTGTTTTCTAAGCTTTTAAGTAGTCTATCAGCAATGAAGTTCTAGACATTCTATCTCTAGCAAATCCATTCCATCTTCGTCCTACTGCCTAAAGCCCAGGCTGCATCACATCCTCTACAAACACTAGAACACTCTGTCCCTAACTTCCTTATCCTGCCCTCCTTCTATAACGCAGAGCGACCTTTCTGAAATTTAGCAGTGACCCTCTCAGTCCCCTGGAGCTAGCTAATGCAGCCCAGCCCCACCCACAAAGGACCTGGACACTGCAGGGATAGGGAGGTCCCAGGTGTCTGCATTTCTAACAAGGTCCCAAGAGATGCTAACACTGCTGATCAGGGAACCAGGCTTTGAGAACTACTGGCCTATAGCATCAAGTCCCAGCAAAAGAACCTATTTTCATCATAATACTAAGACACAATTTGCATTCTTCTCTGTGTTCACATTTACATCCATGGTGCAAAGACAAGAGTGGGTCAAACTGCAAGCTCTTTAACACTAATCAAGATAGAGGTACCAAGTGTACCAGTAGTCACAGACTTGAAAAAAAAAAAAAAAAAAAAAAAGCCCACTTCACTTAAGAAGTTCCTTGATACAGCAGTTAAAATTATTAATTTTATTAAATATCAGCCCTCAAGTACATGGCTTTTAACACCCTTGTGCCCCAAAATAGTAAGTACACAAAGTACTTCTGTGAACTACTGAAGCACCATGGTAATCCCAGGAAAAAGCATGTGTTACACAATTTAAGATGAAAAATGAACTGCTTGCTCTTTTCATGGAATACCGTGTGACAGAGTTTAAATGTTTGGCCCCTCTGAATCTCATGTTGAAATGTAACCCCTAATGTTAGAGGTGGGGCCTGGTGGGAGGTGTTTGAATCACAGGGGCAGCCCCTCACGAATGTCTTGCTGTCTTCTGATAGTGAATGAACTCTCACAATTTCTGGTTGTTTAAAAGAGTGTAGCACCAGATGTTTGAGACCAGCCTGACCAACATGGTTAAACCCCATCTCTACTAAAAACAAAAATTAGCCAGGCGTGATGGCAGGCACCTGTAATCCCAGCTACTCAGGAGGCTGAAGCAGGAGAATCACTTGAAACTGGAAGGCGGAGCTTGCTGTGAGCTGAGATCGCACCACTGCACTCCCGCCTAGGTGAAAGAGCGAAATTCCGTCTCAAAAAAAAAAAAAAAAAAGAGGGTAGCACCTCCCGCCTCTCTTGCTGCTCCTCCTCTAGCCATGTGACACGCTAGTTCATCACCTTCTGTCACGTTTGTAAGCTTCCTGAGGCCTCACCAGAATCTGCTTCTGGTGAGGCCTCAGGAAGCTTACAAACGTGGCAGAAGGTGATGGATAATTTATAAAGAAATAAATTATAAATATCCTTTTATTTATAAAGAAACAAATTATCTGTGGCAGACTGGATAACTTATGAAGAAAATAGTTTTAATTGACTCGTGGCTCTGCAGGCTTTACAGAGCCATGAGTCAATTAAAACTATTTTCTTTATAAATTATCCAGTCTCAGGTATTCTTTTAGTAATGCAAATGGGCTAAGACACCAAGTTTACTAAAAAGAATGAATGACAAATTATGGTTGTTCCAGCTTGGATATTGGCAGACATTTTCTTGACCATGAATAAAGTAAGGCTCCCAGTTTAAGGAAAACAACTGACAGAATTTGTTGTTGAAAATAAAAACTGAGCTTTCAAGTTAAATGTAGATAAACCAGCACCTGTCAATATGAGCTTGCTACCTCCCTATGTAAATTGGGGTAATGGTAATCAATGTGAATTTTTTATCTTTTATCTCATATTTCATTGTCTATCAATATTTGGAAGACTCACATACTTGGTAAACAAGTATTTTCCAAATGACCAATGAAGATGATAGAAATTATACTTGAGCAAAAGATCCATTCAAGGTGCATGACTTTGGGAGGCCAAGACGGGTGGGGATCACTTGAGGTCAGGAGCTCGAGACCAGCCTGGCCAACATGGTGAAACCCCATTTGTACTAAAAACACAAAAATTAGCTGGGCTTGGTGGCGGATGCCTGCAGTCCCAGCTACTTGGGAGGCTGAGGCAGAAAAATCAACTGAACCCCGGAGGCAGAGGTTGCAGTAAGCCAAGATCGCACCACTGCACTCCAGATGGGTGACAGTGAGACTCCATCTCAAAAAAAAAAAGGTGCAAGGAAAACAAATGAATTTTAACGTAACCAAGGAGAAAACATTCACTATTTCATTCAAATTCTTATTGCAACTAACCTTACAGAAACTACTACTTGTTGAATTTTGGTGTGGTTATCAAAGAAAAATATCCATGGTTATCTGAAGACTATTAAAATACTCCTTTCTTTTCCAATTATATATGTGTGTGAGTCTGAATTTTCTTCATATACTTTAACAAAACAACATATTGCAACAGATTAAATGTAGAAGCAAATATGAGAACCCAGTCATCTTAAAGTAAGCCAGACATTAGATACTGCTGCCAAAATATAAAACAATACACTATTATTAAATGTTTTAGTTTTAGAAAAAGCAGGTGTTTTCATAAAAATATATAACTTCTAACATTTAATGGGTTTATATTTTTTAATAAATTAGGGATTATTTTTTAATTTATCAATTTTATTTTTTTGAGACACAGTAGTGCAATCATAGCTCACTGCAGCCTCAACTTCGCAGGCTCAAAAAAATCCTCCCACCTCGGCCTCCTGCTTAGCTGGGACAACAGGCGCACACCACCACAGCTAGTTAACTTTTGTATTGTGTGTAGAGGGGGTTTCTCTATGTTCGCCAGGGTGGTCTCGAACTCCGAGGCTCAAGTGACTCACCCCTGCTTGGCCTCCTGAAGTGCTGGGATTACAGGTGTCAGCCACTGCAGCGGGCCAATTTTAATTCCCAATATGGTAAACAGCAATAGATAACCACAAAAACAAAAGTTCCTTTGGAACTTCAATAACTTTTATGAATATAAAGGAGCCCTGAAACCAAAAAGTTCAAAAATCACAGACATATACTAACTCCCTAAAATGTAAATCTATCTATCTTTCCTTCTTTGTTTGATAAGGGCTCTTACTCTCACACAGGTTGGAGTGCAGTGGTGCAATCTCGGCTGACTGAAACCTCCACTGAACTAGGCTCCAGCAGTCCTTCCACCTCAGCCTCTTGAGTAGCTGGGGCTACAGGCGCACACCACCATGCCTGGCTAATTTTTGTATTTTTTGTAGAGACAAGGTTTCCCAGTGTTGCCCAGGTTAGCCTCGAAAACTCTCGGGCTCAAGTGATCTGCCCACCTCAGCCTCCCGAAGTACTGGGATTAAAGGCATGAGCTACTGTGCCCAGCCAAATGTAAATCTTAAAGGTACATAGGATAAATTTCCACAGTAAAACCACGGTGTTTCATTTTATATATACTGTTAAGGTTTTTAACCAAACTTAAACAATATCTTTAGAATCATAAAACGCCATATATGTTAGACAAATATGGCAGTTTTTTTAATGCCACTTTATTATAACTCAAAATGCATAATGGATATAAAAACCTAACAACAAAAAAAGAACAATCATAGCATCCGAACTACTAGCCAATTTGATCAATACCATTAACAAAAATGAGTTAGTGTCAGGCATCTCACTTTCCTTCTTTCTGCCTTATTTTCTCTAAAGATGAGAAAATGGGAATGGTAACTAAATTGATTTAAGTCTCCAAGGAATGGTAAGAATATTATCAAATCAACACCAGTAAAGGGGGGTTGGTAAAAGATTAAAAAGCAACTATCAAATTGAAGGCAGAAACTTGAACAGATATTTGTATGCCAGTGTTCATAACAGCATGATTCACAGTAGCCAAAAGGTAAAACCAACATAAATGAGTTTTTTTGTTTTTTAAGACAGGGTTTCATCTGTCACTCAGGCTGGTGTGCAGTAACATGATCACAACTCACTGCAGCCTTGAACTCCTGGGCTCAAGGTATACTCCCAAGTTGCTGGAACTACAGGTACATGCCACCAGGCTCAGCTAATTTTTGGCACAGACAGGGTCTTACTATATTACTCAGGTTGGTCTTGAACTCCTGAGCTCAAGCAATCCTCCCAGCTCAGCCTCCCAAAGGACTGGAATAGCAGGTATAAGCCACCACACCTGGCAACAACCCAGATGTCCACCAATGAACATGTAAACAAAATGTGGTATGTGTATGTGTATACACACACACACACACACACACACACACACACACACACACAAATGAAATATTATTCAGCCTTAAAAAGGAGAGTAATTCTGATACATGCTACCAAATGGATGAACTCTGAGAACATCATGCTACATGAAACAAGCCAGCTATAAAAAGACAAATACTATATGACTCCAGTGATATGAAGGACCAAGAGTAGATAGATCGTAGTAGGATTCCTAGAAACAGTAAGTAAAAGGGTGGGTACCAGGGGCTGAGGGGAGGGGAAATAAAGCGTTAGTGTTTA